TAACTATCGTTTGCATGAAATCTCCAGAAGCACAATAATACGATTTAAAACATTTGTTGACTCGGCAGCACTTTACCTGTGTATTGACTTTGTGCTGTTTCTCTTCGAAGTTAGAAAGAACTGATCACTGACGATGAATAAAATGCGCCATTCTCCATTTCCTTGGGAAACTTTTTCTTTGCAAATGAAAGCAGCAACTCAAATGTTCTTTGTACAAATACATCGACTATCCGCGAAAAAAGTCACGAGAAGGTTTATGCATCAATTAATTGTTTTTCTTCCTATGATGATGAGTCATGAAGCACAAAAAACATTGTGTTTCATTGTCGAAGGATGCCGAGAGAGTCCAGGCTATTCGGTTCAACCGTGCCAAATATATTAAATACTCTGTGTACACCCCCTGATTGATTATTAATCAAATAGCTCAACATTTCTTTTCATCTGATAAACAATGTCATTTTCAAAGCAATTGTATTTTAAGCAATCACATCGACATAGAATTATATAAATAATAACAGTCATTACTCAGTAGTCGAACTAACAGAGTCCATAGGTGATAATTAGTCGATTCGCTTGAATAAATGTTTGCGAAGCAGTTCGAGTGATAATCGAAGACCAGTATTTTGAAGCTCTTCTAAACTTCAAATTAAGCTGAGCAAAGTGTCAAAACTATCATAGATCCGCTAATGTAAGACTTCATTTTCATTACATTATTCTAAAGGGTGTGAGTGTGAATATGAGTATAGCTATTCGAAAGAATTTGGATATCGAAGATATTCTACATATCGATATCAGAAAACTAATCTATACTCGGCCCACCTGAAAAAACATAATAATGAATGATCTGCTTTTGTTATTTTTATTCAATATCTTCAAACGAGTGAAAATGTTTCGTTATGATCCCAAAGCTAAGTAGTAGAGTAGATTGTCTCATAATGCGCTGTGGAGGCAACATGTGTGCGCCGACTCACGAAAACTGCTCTGTTTGCCTCGAAATATATTCAATAGAAAAGAATCAACCATTCGTTAATTTCTCTATTTCTTCACTTTTTTTTCAAAAGTTTGCCGGGCTGTATCCATATAAAAAAGAAATAAAAAATATTTCACAACAAACGTAAACTATCGTCATGTTCTTTTCAAAAAAAATCCAAATTGAAATGGGTTTTTCCCATTCTGATGGAAGGAAGATTGTATATAAAATTCCCAGCTAAAAAGTATATATTTAGCACTCAATATATTGAGGTAGGTTCTTCTTCTGTTTACAACTCTTTTTACCAACCTCTTATTTCTTTTTCATACAAATAGATTGGCTAAATTTTCAAACAATGCCACGAAACCATAGCGTGAAGACTGTTAAAGCTGATTCCGACGTGGTGATTATTGAATCTGCTACACCTTCTCAGGTAGAAAAGGCATTAAAAGATGGGCATGGTGTTGCGAAATCAGGTGGCGAATATTATATTATTATTGAGACTGGAAAAAGCAATAAGCCTTCGAGTAGTTCATCGTCGAAGAAAAAATGAAACAATTGGCAACGTCATAGAAATCGAAATCAAGAAAGAAATCACAACAGTCATTTTATTTTATCTTGTAATTATTTTTTCATGCATTCTGTAATTAAAAATGCACAAACAATTCTAGATGAACTGTTTCTACTTTCATGCGATATTTATTTAACCCTCTACCCATGTTAGGGCCTAAAGGAACAAATGATTTTGAAAACAAGTTGCTTATAAAGAATGAAAAGCAATTAAAGCAAAGAACAAAACATGAAGCATATAAAACTGTGGGCATAGATAACGTGAGTTATGAGCGATGGCTTGCCGAGTCGAACCATTTCGGTATGCGAGTGGAATGCATAGACCATCGACGAACGAGTAGCTTGCGACGTGTAGAACAGAACAGAGTTATATAAACATGGTGCTGTGGGAGGGAAGGCTCGAGCACGATGCTTATTCTTGAGAATCCAACATATTACCGTTGCGCCAATCCCCCCCCCCCCCCCACATGAACTGTTTCTTCATGTGCATTATATATTCGATTATCTTTGTCAAGAAAATTATGTTATATGAGCACATCTTGAAATCTTTTGACCAATTGAAACACTTGAACCATCTGTTTCGTCGCTTATCATTCTTACCCATACGCTTGAATTTCTTTTTCACTATTTTTGTTTTTTATTCAAGCATGTATTATATACTTGGATGCTATAAATGTATTGTTATCAGTATGTTGATATTAATTGAGGATGCTCAACATATTAAGCAAATGTGTGGCATTGAAATTCGGCGCATTCAAGTGAAACTGCACTTGGTCTTGATCTACATAGGGTTTTGCCGCTTTTTCAATGAACACAAGTGCGATGAGGCCTAGGAGTGTGCTTCGCATGGTTGCTAAATTGTTTTAGATTAAACACAACATCAGATAAGAAGAGGACTTCATATTCGTCTTCAAACTCACTCCGTTCAGCGACTTCAGCGAAAGAGCAGTATTTTTGATAATTTTTGAAAAAAACATGGTAATATTGTTATCACATACTAGTGTAAATGACTCATTGAATGTATAAAAAGCAAAGAAATCAATAACTTGTATTCTTGGTATACGGTAAAGATCGATTTTTTATAATATTGCCATCAGAAAGAATGAATCATACATGATTGAATGTAAACTTCACCATCGTATAGAACTAAAAAAAAAACGTGCCAATAAGTTTACTACTCGAAAGTTACGGTATTGCTCAATCGTTAAGAAAAAATTACCAATTCATGAGTAATTACAGACGTAGAAGTTTGCATTGGTCGATTTCAAACAACTCCAGAATAACTATATCTAATGTACATTACACAGTAGGAAATATATAATACCACTTCATGAAACGATCTATAAGCATTTTGTTATTATTATTATTATTATCATTCGATAAGAAAACAGAATTTAATTAAATTTGACAAATTCTAATTTTATGATGAAAAAGAAGTTTAACACATCTCATGTGTTTTCATGTACAAAACTTTTCAATATACAAGTGATATTCTATATTCAACTTCCTATGCTCTTTATAGGAATGGTCAAAATCAAAAATGAACTTGTTTGTGGATGAAAAATTTTCGATGCTACTTAATATTACAAAGAGTATTGGGCAAAATAGTATCATCGTAATAAATATCTTAATTAGTCCCCTTGCTCTGATGTTTCTTGCCAGTCTTCGTCTAATCATCACACTCACTACGGTTTGTATGAAAACAACCAAACATTCATGAATATCGTTTATTGATTATCATATTTCAATTGCTTCTCATATTTTGTTCTTCACCATTCTTCTTCCTTGGTATTGACAGTGCTATTGGACCTAATAGTGAGAGGTTTTTATTTGAAGAACAAAGAAGTTATGGAACATTCGTATCGATGGATAGAAACAATTTATGTTGCATGTTCGCTCGTTTTCTCATCAAAAAGATAATTACAGTAGTCTAGGCGCAAATTATGACTGCTATGCAATTTTCAATCACCTTGACAGTGTTTGCGCTGAAATCCTAAAGTATCCAAATAGCTCAGTCATAAATAGAACATCGTATGAGTGCCCATCAAGTTGTGGGTGTGAGTGTGGGTATCGATGTGATAATATTCGATTCCACACTCACAACCAAAAAATAGAACAGAAAAATGCCTAGCGCGTATCTTGAAAGTGAGGAAAAATAAGTGAGGTAACGATGAATATCAATCAAAGAATACATATACTGAAATACGAAACATCAGAGTATTTACTGTGTAACGAAAACTCGGCTAAAATCTGGGATTTGCACAGTCATTTGAGAAAAAGAGGACTTACGAAAAAATATTTTGAAGGATAGTTTTCAAGAAAAAAAAGGATGAGGAAATGAGGATTTCGTTTTTGCTATGAAAGAGTACCGCTCTGTCTCAGACATGCAAGTATGTGAAGAATAAGACTGAGCGCTCATAATTTCTTTTTCTGAGGCAAGGTATCTTTCATCTTAAGAAACGTCAACGTGACCTCATATGTGTTTCTCAATGAAAGGAAGAATGTTTTGTTAAGGAAAACTGGTTAGTTAAACGCGAAATCTATAAGCATTCTGAAAAATGTGAGATAGATACTTTTGAGGTAATAATGATAGGTGCACATTTCTAGTCGACAGATGATAAGACAAGATACGTGCGAGAATTTTTAACCAATTCTTATTTACCTATTTCATTCACAAAAAAGGGAGGTGAAAGTAGGTGTTGGTGCAGACGGGACAAGACTTACATGGATACCTACATTCAATTTGTCTGATCAATACCTTTCGTAAAAATTATATGTATTATAATGGTGCGAGTTATACTTATTGGGAACTTACGTTTTCAACAATAAACAACACGACTTAGTAAAAGTCTCACTATATCTATCAAGGTCAGCAGAAAAATTCAAAAAGAAATTTTCGTATTTACACCGAAACATAGAAGAATGCTATTTATTTCGTAGTTTTTTGTCGTATTGAGATTCATGAAGAAATTATCATTCAATGTTCATGATTCATTAAGAATTATCACATCGAATTAAATGAATATTATGCATACAAGAAGTTCATGTATAAATATTCAAATGGTGAAAAACAAAAGATTCCTATCGTCAGTGATAAAAAAAGATCATAACCAAATGGCCTATTTTCATTGCATATCAAGTTCCATATACGTATGATAAACGATAAATTCATTAATAGTTTCTCATGGTAGAAAAGTATTTTCTGTTAAATATTCTACAATTTCATCACTGTTTTACATGTTCTTTCTCGATCAACATCAACTAAACGTGTTATAACCATATAATGAAAATGTTTTTCATCTAGTTATTCTAATGCATTATACGATATATGTAAGAGAAATTTACGATTTGATTGACAAACAGTTCGAAGTTTGTTTAGTTTGTTTCCTTCACGATCTTTTTTCACCAATACTTTACAATGAAATTCGAAATAATACGTTTTTTGACTCCAAAATAGTCTTCAATCAATATTTGTTTGTGGTACACCTTCATTTGATGCTAATGTTTTAATTTTAATATGTATAATATTAAACTGTTTAAAATATTCATGTACTTTTCCCTCGATTTGTTTAACTGTTGATAAATATTCATCACAATAAGATGATGATGTTATTAACTGTACATTTTCATCTTCTAGTTGTTATGTACGGGACTGTTTATATGTGGCGTCATCAGTTATTATATTTTTACGATTATTTTACATAGTAGAAATTCTTTATAGGTGATGTATTTATTAAAGTTCGATATATAACAGCTATGTAAGATGATGAGAAATATTTCTTGTAGAATAGATATGTAAATTTCTGTCCTTTTTTTTAACTTTGAAGGATGTTTCGATGTTGTTAATATCATTTTGAGAAGACGACGCTTTTCAAAATAACGATGAAATTTTGTGTTTAAAATAAGTCAAATAAAATAGTAGAATTAAGCAACTTTTTCATTTTCGTTTCTTCTATTGCTATTTCTAAACAATTGATATGACTAGACAGAAACTAACATTAAAGAAAATAGTGGAATCTGTAACAAACAAAAATCAGAGGATTATTTAAATATCTATAGAAGTACAATAGAAAAGTAAAGTCTCCACCCATTCGAATCTCACTTACTATACATGTTGAAAGTTTGAAAGCTTATGTTCAGATCCTCCATCAAGGTCGTATGCCAGAGATATAACATAAGTCTGATCGCTTTAGTGAAATGAAGATTATGATAGATCGGATGAATTTTTCTTAGTATAGTATAATCTCCAAAAAAGCTGCTTACTAAAGTTTCCATTGCCTTTTTTATCAAATGCAAGACTAAATTTTAATATTCTTCGATGGAACTGATATTGATTCTATTGTATTTCTTCACCAGAAAAATGAAATGTTGTGCTAAAACCTGAATGCCTTTAACTGCCTCTAGATCTTTGGTATCAAGACGTTAATCATCGCTATATCATTTTCTATTCGTATAAGATTGAATTTCGGAACTCTTAAGGTAATAATGTTAGTGATCCAATTATAAAATGTCGGGTGATTGGGCTCAGTCCTAACAATATTTAGGGTAATTGTGCATGATGATACAGTGCTTGTTTTTCATAGAAAAAGAATACTATGATGTATTTATATGCACAAATAGGTTTTCAGAATAATATTTCATTTATTTAATGACAAAAAATTTTTAAAATATTATAAAGTGAGTTTTACTAAAACTCTATTACTTCTATGCGAATTAGCGAAATTATCCAACAATTTTTTAAAAATTTACTGTTAAAATCGCACTCCATTGCTAAAACGCGTAAATTACCCATTCTAATATTCGACATTGTATTGTCTGTCGATTTTTTTAATCGATTTCCTCTTGTAGAAGGCTCTCTAACATATGTTAGATAAAATCAGTGTATTAAGACAGTAAATGTTTCATCACAAACTGAAAACTTCAGAATATGAGTTTCGTAGGACGTGCACGGATCGACATCTTCAAATTTGAAGGTATTTATGGCATATTTGAAGTGTCCACAACACACAATTTCAGTAGAGTTTATGTTTTTTTTTTCTTAATGACTGGATAGAACTCGCCGAGTTTCAAGCACTATATGTTGCAAACTTTAAAAAGTTAAGTTCAAGAACTTCAGAAATTTAAGTATATTGCATCCTATATTTGAAAGTAATAGCACCTTGTACTTTCCCCAACATTGCTTTTTTAATTTTAAAACATATTTTCTTATGAAACCGGTGAGCTCTATCCAATCATCACACAAAAGAGAAAATATTCTTCTAAAACTATGAATCATTGGCATCTAAAATACATTGTTAAGTCCTTCAAATTCGAAGCTGTTGGTCCGTGCACGTCTTCAGAAACTCATATTTTGAATTTTTTTAGTTTGGCCGTGAGACATCTAATTTGCTTTGAACATGTCCAATCTTATTTATTGACAATACAAACATCTGCGTTGTCATAAAGGAAAACAAAGAAAATATGAATGTTTCGCGTTTCGCTGATTTATTGTTCTGCAAAACAATTGCTTTTTTTCGAAATAGTTGGTGGTGGGACTCAAATTCCCAGCGTTTGCGCTCAGCACAACCTAGCTCTATCCTTATTACGCCACTACATGATGTCTAGTTGCAGAGGCAGTCTCAATTTGTTAAACTGTTACTGAAAAACTTATCTCTAAATGATTACAGACCATTTCTCCGTAAAGTAACGCTCTCAGCACTAGAAAATTTTCCAAAGTTATGAAACTCAAAGGAAAGATAGACACCATCCAGTTAGATCCTTCATAAATCTCTTCATAATTAAGCAAGGGTTTGCTACTGGTCTACATTCTCGATAGAGAGTGTATCCACACATTTTCAAGTCTTCAATAGAATTTTGTCCATTAATGTATAATTTCCTAATTTTTGATTGATATTTCTTAAAGTGTTCGATTGTATTAAATACAAAGTAAATAAACACCTGCTTTTTCTCATTTTGAATATACCTTAACGCTTTTTAGAATTTCTCTCAGAAACCTTTTAAAACTTGTACTAATATATTTCAATCCTGATTTATTCAACTCGATAAGTGTAATTCATGTGCATTTCTATGTATTATGTCTCATGCTATTACCTTTTACTGTTACAGAACCTTGAAGAGACCATTTACTCTTCTTAACCATGAAAATCACCAGTTTTTCTGTAATTTTTGTTTGTTCATCGATAATTTAGTCTAAAATTCCTATCAGGAAAACTCACTTTACGATCATTATACTATATGCATACAGAAAGTTTTTCTTTTCTTTTTTTTTTTTTGAAGTCAGTTTTTACGCAAAATAAAGTGCAAAATTACTTTCTTTTCTCTGAGACAATATATTCAAACGAGCTGCACCTCTTTTACAGATACTAGACACTGTTTAGGGTTCTCACGTATTATTTCGAAAAAATATTGCTCTGATGATCTTTTTGGTATGTACTAGAAAAAAATAGCTTCAGTAAAAAATCATGTGTTTTTGTGAGTGTTGTGCTTATTTTGATATTTTTATTGAAAGGAAGCGAGATAAAAAAGATGTGAATAGATTTGGGCACCTCAAACAGTGTCTCGTATACGTTTAGAAAAAGCTTCGGCTCTATCGGACATAATACAACAAAGAAAGCTGAGCGTATCTCACCTATTGTGATCTTGATATTCTCTAGAAAGATGCATATGGGAATTTCGAGTCTAAGACAACTTTTCCTCTACTCATCAAAATCTATCTACTCTGAGAATTTCAAATATTTCTGGTCAGCTGTTTTTCAGAAACTTCGGAAGTGAGAGGGAATCCTCTTGAATCAAACAAAAATCTACTATTCGTATTAGTCGACTGCATTGTCCAATATGTTAAGTGATTAAATGCCAATGGAGATCGATGAGAAACAAAGAGTAAAATGTTCGGATACTATTTATGAACCAATATTTCAGTTTCAAGATATTTTGCAATACAAATGCCATTCCATTTGAGAATTCATTCTTTCTCTTCGTCATCACGGTTCGGTTTTTTGCTAAGATTCTCTTCCTTTCTTTTATTATATAATATGTAAATATCTTCTAACCGAGTCAATAAGTATAATTTTATATTTTGTATTTTCACATGTTTTCTTTTCAGTTTTTTCAACAATTTGTTCAGTATTATGTGAACAATCAAATGTACCTTTAACAACATTTGCCAGTACAAGTGTATTTAATTTTGTTTTATATTCAGTACTTAACTTATCAAAATAATTGAAAACACTAAAAAAAACATAATTCATTTTTCGAAATCAAGATTTAGCGTTTTTTAAAAAAAACTTACGCGTCTATATTTGAATTATCTGATGTTTCATAATGTATGTCTTTCATTTCATCAAATATATGTGTTAAATGTTTATAATCATGTATTGAACGTGTTTGAATTAATTGTTCAGCAAAATCTAAATATCTAAAACCATGAAACAAATTTTTGAATAAATAATCTTCCTTTGATTGATTTAATATTGAACTATGTTTTGGATAATTTGATTTACTATTTGAATTGAAGATTTTCATAAAATGTAACTTTTTTTAATCGAAATTTATCATAATATTTTTCAAGATAAATTGATTGAAAATCAATTGCTTCTTTGATTTCAAATTTATTAGCTAAAAATATACGTTCAATAGCTAATAAATAATTTTTTTGGAAAAGTATTTCAAACTTTTCCACACTATGAACACAAACATCATATTTATTCCATAATTTATATAATTCAAATTGGTGAAAATAATCGAAATCAAGATCAAATTTTTGATGAAGCTTTATCAGGTGATCGAGTTACGATCGTAAGATCTCGATCAGATGCAAAATTTATTGGTACCATATACCCATGAACCATTGTTATAAATGTTCGCCACAGAGTTTCCATTTAAATTGAGCTCATGTAAAATCAATGAAATACAAGAACGATTCATTTTATGTAAGTTATTTGTAATGCATTGAATGTTTTCATCAAGTCATTGATTTATATGAAATGATGTCAAAGTGTTCAGTCAGTTTTATGCAATTCACATGTATCGATGTGTGACTTCGTTAACGTGATTCTTGAGTATGCTGCAATAAGAAGCAAGAAAAAAGAGAAAGAATGAAATATTCAAATAATAACTCCGTTACTTTGAACATTAACGTCAAGTTAATCACTTCCTATCTATCTAGATAAACATATAGCAATCAAAGTAAATCTTCGACTTGAAATATAAAGTTTTAAGGCGTTTTTCGTACACAGGAACTTAAAAAAATGAAAACAAAATACTATCATGGCTGTATGTGTGGATGTGAATGATAAGAAAAAAGCTACCCACACCCTTTATCTTAAATAATGAAGCAGAAATACATTGAAATATAAAAGAATGTTTATATAGTTGACATCGTGAACATACATTAAGATTAGAGCTCAGCGACAAGTTATTCGAGAGGACTTCAATTAGATGTAAAAACCTTGCTTAACGAACCATTTTATTTTGCGTTCATACATATGTTATAGTAGGCGGTTGAACAAATAGCTGCTACTAATATTCGAAATTGAATATAAATTTAAGAGAAAATATTGAAAATATCTTTCATAAAATGTTTCGACAAGAGCAAGCATTTACTGCGCAGATAAAAGATTTCCAACATTTAAATGTATATAACGAATACGATATTAAATTCACTTGTTATTCAAAATTGAATAAAGACAACTTTTCGGAGTAATTTGATTTCAGTATGAAAGTAAATGATAGTAATATAAGTTCCGCTGTACATTATGGTTTCTTCAGTACTGTTCATAAAACGAAAGAAAAACTACACATATGATATCGAATAGAATAAGTCTCGAAGTAGATCATACAAAATATTGGCTTGGATAAAAGAACCTTTGAAAGAAGAGTAAATTCGTGAAATTCATTCAAATGTTGTTTATTCATTTGAAAGGAATGTTATTTTTTAACAATTTTGAAACAATATCAACATATCAATGGATTCTAAAAAATGGAATTAGTCTGTTAATGAAACCTCGATTTATTCATTTTTCAAAAAATTTCTCAAAAACTCAATAATCTATTATATTCTTTTTGTCTAAGTCAGATTTTAGTCAAATGAATGAAAATACTTTAGAAAAATGATTTCAACTCAACTTGAAAATCATCGATTAGGAATTCTAAATTTTCATTCTTCCAATTCTACTTTTGTAATAGTCTATGATTCAGCTATTGATTAAGAAGAACGCAAACGGAAATATTTATCTGAATCATATTCTTTTAAATTTCAACACAACAAAGCCTAAATTCGAGTTTATTCTATTTTTTTTTAAATATCTCTTTTTAAAACATCTGGTATGGACCGATAATGGATTGTTCAACTTCATTGAAGAAAGTCTAACTGGATAAAACAACTTAGAATAAGGTCAATACAATAATTGAAATAATGGCTTTATCAAATAAAAATTACTACAAAGGATAAGTGTGACAAAAAAAGAACGTTTGAGTAGATCATATTTAGTGTAATCAAACGCACCTACTACCTTGAATTCTCGATTAACTTGTTTCTGTATTTTTATAATTCGAAACCTCATTATTCTTTACGTCCTAACTATAAATACTAGATCAACTAAAAAAGTTACTTTCTTTACTGATGTTTGGTGCATGCGCTATAGATGAAGAAGAGCCAGAAATTAATTAAGAGTATATTTCATCGCCCTTCTTATCTGATTGTTCTTAATTTAGAATAGTTACTAAGAGACAAATACGCCAAGAAAATATAATAACAACGAAAACTCTAGTTGAAAGTATCTTAAGATTGTAGGTGACTGTATGTATAAGTGTAGAAAGCAATAGAAATTCTCATTGGTCAAAATGTTTTGTTTCTGTACTTCTGTATGAAAATATCATGGAAAACTTATTCTTTAATTATTTTCAATAAGGACTCAGAGGTGAAGTAGTAATGGTTCGTCTTAGTTGTATCCGAAATTTTCATCTGTAAAAAGTATTCAATTTCTTACATTTTGATATCATAAACTTGGAAAAACACTCATCGCTTTATAGCTTGCGAATCAACAAATTAATCATGTAGTCTTGAGGAGAACATCATAGTTTTATAGCAAAACACATTCAAGTGAATATAAAATTACTGTACGTATCTCGATTGGATCGGTTACAAGAGGAAAACTCTCATTGCAAGTCATTCAAATGGTTCGAAATAGGAATGAACTGATTCTTCTAACTAGAGAAGTCTTATATATACTTGATGATTGAATTATAATTTGTCTCCATCAGAAAAATATAAATAATCGATTGAAATTTAATCAAGTTTAATTGATTGTTAAAGTAATTGCACTATCTCTATTAGAAACAATTCATATGGGAGTTTCAAAATTGTTATGTTTGCATAAGTCTGATTCAATTGCAATTTGACACTTTCTAAACACAAGGAATCCAAATAATTACGTAAGAAAGGTAATAAATGGAAAACTTGACACACTATTAATATTAATCTCTGTAATATCTTACCCTTACAACATTCGAAGAGTCTAAACGGTAAACAGGAGCAATTCTCGCTTATCTGATTAATTTTTAATTGAGCACTCACAAGCTGCATATGCTGATCGATTAAACGCGATTCGTGTAAACCAAAATCTTCAGTATTGCCATTGTCAGTCACTCATTGCAGAAATCGTAGGTTTTCATATTTTGGAATTGATTCCTCATTGATTTTTTGGGGTTTGAGATTCCATTTCCTTTAATAATTCAATATTTATCATATGATTTGAGGATACAGGTAATTGCAAAGGAATAGAAAATCTCATTAATCAATTCTTTGTGTAAAGATTGGCAAAAGAAACTCGGTAAACTGTTTTTTAAATTATTCTCGAATAAAAAAAAAATGAACTTTTCATATTCGGTTAAGACTCATAACAAAAAAAGTAGAAATACTTCAAGTAAACTATGGTCGAACTATTTCACCTTTGAAGGCTGTTTGTTTTCCTAGATTTTGACGTAACAAACCTGGAAAAGTATTCATCTGTTAAAATTTGAGGAAAAATTCATACTTTTAAAGTATGAATGTCTTACGACACGAGCAGATCATCTAAGATCCTATATAATCGCTGACTATCTCTATATGGCGAATTGCTGATATTCGATCGGAATGTAAGGTGAAAATTTGTAAAGTTTCCTCAATGTTATCCGATGATGTTATTAGAAAAGTGAAATGAGAGCGAAGCCTTCAACAATAACAAAGTAAAATATTGATAGAATTTGACTATTGATTATCGAAAGCTTTATGCAAATGCATGCCACAGAGTTATGGTCTGTATTTACGAAATCAATTTAGAACAATAACTTTATTGGTTTTTAGATCAGGATATGAGTGTGGTTTTATTTATATGCATTATCAACACTTACATCCACATCTATTAGAGAGATCGTTCTCGCTGAGTATTACTCGAAGACAGTCGAACTATGCGAACGCGTCTAAGAAATGCGATAGAAATAGGTGAATTCTTGCGTGAGTAACCGGATTCGAATGAGACTGATGCTTAAGCAAAGTATTTTTTTTCTGATTCTGTGATGAAAATGAAAGCTTCATCCAAATGTTAATCAGTGCTGCTGACAAGATCGATCATTTTAGTAATTAAGTATTGCGACAGAAAACAATAAAAAACTACATATATTTTGTGACTATATACACACAAGGTTTTTTTCTTTTCTATACAAATTTGCTCCATAATGTATATATGTTCTTGCAGTAACGAATGCAATATAATAAGTTACTCTGTAGTTCTTTAGAGAAGCAAAAGATGGTGCACAGTATGCACCTCTACTCGTAAAGTCGGCTCTTTTTTGCATCTATCACATAACTTGCGACGTATCCCTCGTTGTGCGACACACAGTCAAAAGTAATTGCTTTACTTTCGTTCTCCTCTTTGGAAAAAGTACTATAGATGCGCAACGAAATGAATAGGAAAGTTAAAGGAAAGATATCAATTATTCGTCATCTACAACTAAAGAGTCAGTAATCAGCACTGGGTATGTTGAACAATGAAACTCAATATACTTCACAACATTCATTCACTAACAATCTATTGTGATATCAACCATTTTGAACTGACAGGAAGTACAGTACAGTCTTCTCTTTATGCAACATATCTATTGAACTTTAGAGCAAATATTTCTCTACAAAATAGTTTATTAGATTTTGATACAAATTTTGATGGAAAATAATTGAAGCTTTGGTTAAAACTAACTTCCCATTAAAACAATCACACTTTTCGAGTTGGTCAGGATGAAATTTTGAATCTGATCCGTTTATAAAGAAATACCGAGTTTCATTTCTATCGAAACAAATTTTTGGAATGTTTTCGACTTTGAAATGGTTATTTAGAAAATTTATACAAAGTAGATAGTAAAATATTGTTGATAATTACTAGGTGTTCATGAAATTTTCAACAAAAACAAAGTTTTTTTTTCGTGATACACTGGGTGTGCTAAATAAATAGCCATTGATCTTAGAAAGGACACAGCTATTCAATCTTATCCTTTGAAATGAAGACGATTGAATGAGCTTCCAAATAATAAGAGAATATAAGTTAATTTTGGGTTGTTTTTTCCTGTTTTTAAACAGTGAGTTTCTCTAACATCATCATCTATGATTTGAATGAATTTTACTGTGTATAACGAGAGAGACAGAGATTCCATTGTATCCTCAGAAAGTGTTCTGATACAACTTCTGGTTCGTTTAATTGTTACCGTAGCATTGAGCATTCGATGAAAGAAGAAATTTATATTGAATGTTTTCTAAAACTTTCAGAGTATTTCGGATTCATTTCGAATCATAAATTCAATGCTATCGTTCATTTTAACGCTCTTCTTCCTCTCACGTACAACTCATCGGATTGTAATATTTTAGTTTACTTTCTACATATATGTAATCATTCAATGCCGAGGTTAACCAAGATGGACACCGATCATTGATTTCTCATCGATTTTGTTTGCTTGTTCTTTACCAGATGTTTTTATATTCGATAATTGTCGATATAATGACGCCTTCTATTTTCTATATACGAAAGTAATCAACTTGCAGTCGCTGCTGTTGCGTTCTTTGTGTAGTTCGAATTCTATTCATATGTGAATGATTGAGAAGAAAAGAGAGCAGCAAAATAATAAACGTAGATGCAATTATTTATCGCTTTGCACTCAATTAGTGAGAGTCAAGCTTGGTGGCAACTAAACTGAAAGACAGAACACGAACAACAAGTAAGACAAATCTGAGAAAATATATGAGGATGAAAATGATATAAGATCAAAAAAAACCATGAAATTATAACAAACATCTTCCTTTGCAGATCAACGTAAGTTAAGATAGAAAACTTATATGCACTATATTCAGCAGTTAACAGTATACATAAAAATACGAATATTCTGCAATATCCTTTGTATATCAATTATAGGTCTATAAAGTTTCAATAATCGGAATTTGCTTATCTCAATTTCGACTATTTTACAGCAGATAGAACTATATTCAATCAGTTCTTGTTGTAAAAGAATTATTTTCACTCAACATGTGGCCAGACGTGTACGTGTTTGTTGTTTTTGTTAGTTACGTAGAAGTGATTGTCGCATATAGTTGTGCTCAGTTTAGATAAAGCCACTGATAGATCATTTTCGTAAAAATCTCCCAGCAGTGAACCATGTGAAAACTATTTTCAATATTTGATTTTCACTCTCACTGTCCTCTTATGTGCACCTATTGCTTTCGTATGAAAATATACATTCGGACGTCGTGACTATTTGTCTTAGTAATCTTGTTGATCTCTGAAACTTAACTAAGTTTTCACAATAGGAATTAGGATTCTATCGCACATCGCATTATTTTCCTCATATGTTACTTCTTCTAAAACCCTATACGACGAATAAGCAAAAGAGAAATCGATGCTTATTAAGAAAAAAATATTTTGAACATTAATGCTCGACGTTATCTCACTGTTTTCTATTGAAAATTTTGCAATTTCTTATTTTTGCTGATGTAACTTGTTCTCATACGTCTGAAATTGTGAAGGGAAGCGACATTCGAGAGAGTCGCACAATATCAGTAGTTGTTTTAATGCATATTGTTAACTAATCAATGGACTTAGAATTCTTTTTGTTAATAGTTAATCCATATTTTGTTTTCATTATTGCGACACAACATGTAACAAGCTGTCCCAGTTGAAATCATTGTCAAGACTCAATTCATTTTCCTTTCACTGAAAGGAATGTTGCTTTAGGACTAATGCTTTGATGATTATTGTATTCGTTGAAAGTAACTATGTAATTACTGTTGACGATATATATTAGTATTAAAAAAGGTTTTTAATAAAATTTCTGTTTTAATCAGGTAGACTGAAAACAGTGTGATGCGAACAAAGATAAAATTAAGTTAAACGTATAGTGTTTTGATAATCCAATTCCATGAATCTATTCGTAAAGAGAGAAATAATTTTATAATAAAAGAAATTAAGCAATTTACGACTTGAATAGCAACTACAAAATTTACGTTACAAAATTGTTTGGTTTAAAAGTAAACTAATTCTATATAACGTAGTACATTCATTTAAACCTTTCTCATTAGTAAGAACAAAGAATGAGTAGTTGTAGATAACACATTTTGATCGCCTTGTTCCATTTCTGAATAATCTTCTATCGTTTACCTGGATGCAGCCAGTCTTTCTGTACCTCATTTTTATGCGATAATCGATATATCAAGAACGGGTGTGGGTGTGACCATAGAAAAAACATTCATACTCACATCCTGAGGTACGGTGTTTTTCTCCTTTTCTTGGTCGTAATGGATTCCAGTAGTCGAAAAAACTTTACTCAATGAATTCAAATTTAACATTACTGAATGTATTAGCTTTCGATTTTTATCAATCTGTTATGATGTTTCCTGTATTGGCATACAACAATAATTATGATTCCTATACAATCGATCGTAGTAAAACTTAACAATAGTTTAAGAACTGCTATGTAATATCTAGAACAGTTCTATAAGTCATAAACGATTTTATAGATGGATTGGATCTTGGTAAACTGTTGACATGGACAGTAATCATGCTGTAATTTTATAATGTCTGCTCTATTTTTAAATAAAAGTTGTTTAAGATGAGTGGAGTCAGTCGCATATGATTCAAAGCTGAATCAAGAAGTTTTCTTTTTATTGCATATTTTTAGAAAACAATATCTCAATGTCGAATATCAATAATCATTTATCGATAGAATCTCCAAATGAATCATCAATGAAGGAAAGTAGAAAAAAATGGCATCGTCGCCGTTCAATCATTCACGAATTCGCCGCAAACACAACGATGCATGGCCTTCCAAAAATTATTAACAGTGAAAACGTAGAAAGTCGAATTTTTTGGGCAATTTCCTTTGTTATTTTCACCTCTTTTATGCTCTATTTTATTGTTAAAGCTATTTTAGCTTATCTTCAATATCCGACACAAACAGATGTCAGAGCTAATGTTGAATGGCCACAATATTTTCCAGCATTCAGTATTTGTAACGTTGCATCACTTCGTTACGATCTATTCATAGAACCATTTCTAAATTATACAAATACGTTAAATTTAACCAATGAAAATAGTACAGATGCATTATCTCCACTTCAAATAAGAAATTTTATTCAATATACAGTTAATAGAAATGAATCAGTTGCACAGTATTCATTTTCACTTAATTCGATGCTCTATCAATGTTTATACAATTCTATGCCTTGTTCAAGTGCTGATTTTATTCCATTTATCTCATCAACATATGGCTTATGCTTTACATTCAATGCTAAAATGAAAAATAGTAGTGCTAGTGTACGATATGCAAATCAGTATGGTGGCATTGGTCAACTTGATTTAGCTTTCTATGTACATAGTCATCAATACGTGCCATATGTTGTAGATAGTGAGTAGGCATTAAAAATATTGAATCAAATATTGAGATCTTGTTCTCTTGACGAAAGGTATTGGTATGATTGGTATAGTACACGACAATGCACAAATACCACTTATTGATACAAACGGCATAGGATTGGCACCAGGACGAAAACACAAATTGAATTATAAAAAGAAGACAAATTTCTTTTTACCTTCACCGTATACTTCATGTACCAATAATATACCTCTTTCAATGAAAGTAATGTTTAAGGATTATAATGGTGCTGATTATAGTTACTCGCAACTATCATGCTATGAACTTTGTATACAAGCTTATGCGTAAGTATATTTAAGAACAATTATTATACGTATCTCACTTATGTCAAAATAAAATGCTTTTACTGCAGGTATGAACAATGTGGCTGTACTAATCCTTATTTATGGAATATTCGCTACATTGTTTTACCAGGCACACAAAACATCATCTTAGCACCTCTTTGTAATTACACTGATTCTTGTTATCATCTAGCAGCTGATGTATTTACGGCATCGACATCATTTATCGAACAATATTGTTCAGATTGTACATCGCAATGTTCTATCATAACCTTTCCTCTTGAAATATCTTCATTTATAACACCACTCGAGTGGCAATTCAATGAAATTAAGACATTCGTTGAAAATTCTTCAGTACCATTACCATTAGATTGGTCCACAACCTGGCGTACACATATTCAAAACAATTATGTTGCTGTTAGCATCGTACGTCAAGCATCTGTCGTCGATAATAATACACAGCAGGCGCAAATCACTTTGAGTGATGTTTTGTCGAACGTTGGCGGTCTAACTGGTCTATGGATCGGTCTTAGTTTTCTCTCATTGATGGAAATCATTCATATGCTCTATCAACTTATACATTATCAGTGTCACTTAATTCTATCAGCAATACGAAAACAATAATAGAAAAAAATGTTTATTATTCATTATATTTTACCTAATGAACATAACCTGATTTCTACTGATAAAAAAATGAGATATCCAATCCTTTTTTTCACTGAATATGGAACTGTTAAAAGCTCGTTTCCTTATACATTTCTGACAACATTCTTGTGAGATAGAATGTATTGTGTCGAAGATGGGAATATTTTTCCTTTTGCGGCGCGCTATATCAAGCTGCTGGACATAAACAACTACTTTATATTTACATTCTGTTGATAGCAACATTGCATCTAGGAAAAGAATAGCAAAGAATCAGTTGACTTGTATTGCAGAACATATAAAATTATATCTAAACTCTTCTAAATCATTTCCATGATTATCGCTTTTTATGTTGCTACTAAAAATGCTTTGAAAATAAATTATGGATTCTATTTATTATACAATACAATAATTATTATGGAACAGTAGCTTAAAATTTAAACTGTGGACCACCTGCATTAGGCGATAAAGCTAATGTTTGAGGGCCAATGACTTGTGTCCGTCGTCGATAATTTAGAAATATGTTTTTAATTTTCTTTTTAAGTTCAGGCATTGATCCAGCACATACAAAAGGTAAGAAAAGATTGCCATAATATACAAAGAAGTCTGCATAATGCATTAAATCAGCACCAACTTCTTCAGGAATTCCACAAAGATGAATAAATTCCAATAACATCTTTGGAAAATATACGACAAGATACAGAACTGAAATCGATAATACTTGAATTGTCATCTTTCGATGATTTTGCCAACGAATTGGTCGATGCATTTGAAATTTTTGATAGAGAACACGTAAAAGTAGAAGTAAACTACAAAAAATAATAATTGTTGTAGGTATTATATGATTAACTATAACATCCCACATTGCTAATGATGAAACCTCATAATAACAAAGAGGATAACCACATACAAGTTGAGAGTAGTCAAATGTATTTTGACACGGTGGTACAATAATCGCAATAGTATTGTAACAGATGCTATAGAGCAGAATGATGGCTATTGGTAAATAATGAAAAAAAATAAATTTATATTTCGTTGATAATAATTGATCATGAAAGATGAGAATATGCCGTTCAATAGTTGCCCAAGCAAATAGAATTGTTATTGTGATATATAAAGCTTCATCAATAAAAATCCATACAAGACAAAAGAAAGAATTTTGTGGCCAAACCTTTCCTAAACGATAATAATTAAGAATCCATGGAATATTTGTTAATTGAACGATAAAATTAATGAAAAGAAGAAGAACAATAACATGATAATGCAAAGCTTCACGTAATTTTCGACGAACCATAAAATTATACAAAATGAACAATGAACAAATAACTGATGGAATGTAAAAGGGAAGCATAATCCAAAAACGAATTAGACGAGGTATGGCGATATCAGAAGATGATAATACTGATCCATGCTCGTAAGAACTGTTGTCTTCACTGAACATTGTTTTTGGCAAATGCTAAGTCCAAACGAAGAAGTTAGACATATATGAATTGTATGTCAAACGCAGATGAAAAGAAAAATTTACTTTTCTTTAATTGTCGTTTGTTTTTTTTCTTGTATTTTTTTATTAGAGTTTCATTATTCTTTTTCAAAATCGGATTTGTTCTAAAACATTCATTGACGTACATATCATTTTATACACAAATAAAAATTCTAAAGCAGTTATTAATATAAATATTCAATGGATAAAATAATAATCTTATTCTCAAAATGAAAATAATTGCAAAGAACAACATCGCCTTAGACGTTTGTATCCTTTACTGTCAGATGTATGTCTATGACATATCAATTTAATATAGAGAAAAGTAATATGCTGAAGAGGATACATTTAAAAAAAAAATAATATAAAAGCTGTTTATGAGCTTTGAGTCAAGGACGGCGGAGCGTTTTGAAATTGGGTGATACTCAATGAAAGTTTATTTGCTATCCTAAAATAGTATTTCACATATCAGCATGAGGTAATTTGAGCGAATTGCAGATGATAAGTCGTTTCAGACTATTTAATTGTTTTGCTGTCAGAAAATTATTATGCTAACTTATTTTGTTCTTTACCGGCAAAGTTTCTAAATCTTTATAGAAAGATGAAAATTTCAAAAAACACAAAAACTATTTATATCGTATTAGATTATGAAACCAAAAAACCTTATCTTTTTTCGTTAGAAGATATAAATATGGATACTATTTCATGAATTAACAAGAGGAGTAGTTTGTGTTACAGATGATGCTTCATGAGCTTTGTATCGAGAACTTGTTGAAAGATCAGTTAAAGCAATTTCTTCTATAGGTACAGATGTTGTTGCACCTCTACTTTTTTAGTAAAATATTTCAAAATTGATCCAGCACATCGTTTTCATGGTATTACTGTTTAATATCTAAATTATTGATTTTATGATTATGATCAAAATAAAGTACTGTTTATCTGTTTAATATTCATATAAACATGAAACCAGATTTTGCTTAGCAAGACTAATATAATAATCGTCTAACGTATTAGTTAAATAATAATGTCAAGGCATTCAAAAAATATGAGAGCTAGACATTCAGATAAATATGCAAATAAACTCGTTTCACACTGTATTTCAGTTAGTATATTTGCTGACATTTTAAACAATCACTGTGGATGTACTTCACTGAATACGTTGAAGAGAATGACAGGATCCTCAAATATAGCTAGTTTTGATGTCTTTTCATCGCATAATTCTACAATTGATCTAGTACAAATACCACTTTATGTAAATGAGATAAACGATGTTGCTGTAAACCATAAGAACATAGTTAGTGAGTTTTATTCTTGTCTGAATTTCTTGATTTTCTTTATCACGACATAAAAATAAACGTATTAGAAGTTCGAATCTTCGGACTGAAATAATATTCAACTGATCAGATAAGTCTAAACCATCGTGCAAAAAACTATCGAATTCATAATTTGGGTGAGGATCATGCCTCACCCAGTCTCTAGGTTTCGCTACCTATGCTTTGAGTTTATAATATAAAAATGTTCTCATTCTAGATGTCAAAGACAGAAAATTACAGATTAATTTTTCTGAAAAATTATTGAATGTAGCGGACAGTTCACAATGCAATTATGAAAGATATTCATTAATATCTATAGAAGATATTATTCAGCATGTACTTCCGTAATTATACTTTTCAGCATTCATCATGGTCCAGTATCATTTCTTTAGATTAGCTGATTTTATCCAAAGGCAATGGCAAACGAAAAATATACTACATAAACTCTTGAATATTAACTAATTATAATTTGATTCTTAACGAATGAGATGTACACAACGAGTAGTTTTCTTTTAATCGATCGTCAAATTAGTACAGTGAAAGAATGGGATTTCATTATCAAATCAGAAGTAAAAAGTTTTTCAGCACTCAGTTCCACAGAAATTTCTTATTTTGGCAACTAAGACAACTGAAATAAAAGTATTAAATGTTAAATAATATTTCTTTTTTTATTCCATAGTGATCAATGTAGTAATCGTTTTGATGGCGGGCCTATCCATAACTACAAAGAGCTCTTTACAAGGAAGGAAGGAGAAGAGAAGATAGACGAAAAATTTCCATACACTTTTGTATTGACATTTTAATATGTAAATTTCACTGGCATCATGTTCATTTGATGAATTTCTTGAGTCTATGAGCCATGATTCGTCAATGTGAGATCATGAGAAAAAGAAATTGAGCGTATTTAAAGAATTTTTTCTCAAATTTGTTTCTCATAGTTGCTGCATCTTTAAAACTTATGTTCGAATCAAAATGAAGAAAATTACCTATATATAATTTTACACAATCGAATTATATTCAACTGAGTAGTCATTATGTCAACATGTATCGTGAATCTACTTGAACTTAAACAAATCTTTTTATAGTAGATCACATATTTTTAAATTAGTTCCATAATTTATTTTTATAAAATCTGTTATGTTGCCTAACATATTTTAATCTGAAATATATCTTACAAAAATACTTAGAGAGGATTGTAATCACTCATTTTTATTCGATTATGAAAATGATCGTATCAAGTTAATTATGTATCCTCATCTAGACACATACATCAAACCCCAACTCTGGAGCAATGTTCTAGACGAATAGTCGGCGTTTGGTTTCTAAAACTATCAACTAATTCAGACGGTGTTCGATATCTTAGTTATTAGTCAAGCATTTTCTAATACATATGGGTAATCATGGATATATCCTAAGGTTTGGTTATGTTCCGGTTCAAGTATTTGCGAATGTTGATACTCTTTTTTCTCTACTATGTCTGAAGATCTTTGATTTTGTGACTCATTCATTCCATTTTGTGTAGATGTACCATATCCAAACCTGAAATCCTTTCTTCTAGTTCTCTTTATTATTACATTGAAAATGATGGGTGGGTGAGTGTTGATGTGAACCAACAGCTAAACTTCAACTATACCTATTCCAAACACTCACACCCACATCCTCAAGCAATAATTAATCGAATGAAAATGGACAACTGATAATTCATTGACAGGAAAGTTAAAAAATTTAAATATTAGTCGAGAAATTTATAATAAGAAAACAAACTTTTTTATCAAAAGTTTACGATCATGTTCATATCACCAATAAATCTGACTGCTGTACTAGTTTAAAATCTAATCGCTTTTACATTCAACGAAACCTAAGCTAGAATACGACGTATTATCAGGAGAATAATTCCTACTTTTAAGTTATCTTTTAACCTATATTTATTGTAATAGATGGCAGATATGCGCTTTTTTCTGAAATAGTCTACAATTTTTATCGAACTTCTATCTGTTAGCTACTGTCTCTGTTCAACTCTTTACTTATGAATAATTTTGTTCTTTAATTACAAAATTCTCAACTGGTTTTCATAGCAACTAATTTTTATTGTAGTAATATTCGGAGATCCTAGGAAAATATTGGGTTCGTTAAAAAAAACATTCTACAAGTGGATCCACATAAATATCGACAAAGATGTCTGCTTTTTACATTATTGGATGAATCAAGGAAAAAAGCTACAAGCAAACGTATAAATATCGGTATCTTTTATTAACTATGTGTTGTTAGTAGCACAGTTCTATGTGCTTTAATAAATTTTAGTCATCTTTCATCCTTTTGTTCAATGATCATTCTCAAAACTGGTTTGATGTCAATAGCCATTCATCATGAGAATTCTTTTTTGAATTGTTTTTGTAGAGATATGTAGAATGCGAAAGTTTATCGTAGGAAAAACTTCGAGGAATAAACTTATTTCCAACTTGCCCTGAGAAAATTGGTCTCCAATTCACCTTCTGATTCGAGCATGGATAAATTTTTGTTTTTATGTGGGAAAGCTGCCGTCATTCCTATCTAATACTTATTCATAATTAATTGACAATATACTGTCCATTCAAAAATGTAATGTTCTCCATTGTTTTTTGAATAAATCGAGAATGCAAACAGTTAGAGATCTGCGATTTTCACCAATTGAAAGAGGAGACATGGAGACGTCTGGTTCTTCAATACTTTTTCAGATGAAATTTGGACAAAAGGTAAGCAAATTAATGTCAGGATGTGTGAAGATGATTATTCGAATTATATCTTGAATTATAAATCTGAAGTTTCTCTCTCTAGATCACAAGTCAAAACCAAAATTTCATCAGAATGATAGATCGTTTTCATGCATTTTTTGCAATATTTTTCACAAATGACTGGTTTTAAAGTGATTACGTCTTACACAATATTGAAGAAAAGTCGTTTCCATGTCTCTTCTATCGGTTAATCTCTAGTTGGTTGCGTTCTCGAATTATTCTAAAAACAGTGGAGCACATTATATGTCTAAATAAATAGTTGACACTTTCAGTCTAAGAAACAACGTTGCTTGAAACGCTCAGATCTAATATAATTTGCTTGCTTATATAAGATAAGTTTACCTGTTATAGCACACAATAAAGATACGAAATTTTCATTTTAAAAACAAATGAAAGGTGAATTTTCTTCGATGTAATATTTAAGAACTCCATCTGTAAAATAGGTCAAGTGTGGAGATTAATCTGACCAAAACCACCCACAAATCACACTCACATCCACATCCTTAGTGAATTGAAATGATATGTTGTCTAACAAATTAACAGTTTGACAGTGTTTAGTGGATCAATATTGTGACAATCGACAGATAATTTTATGTTTAAAGAGATTTTTTCGTTGATCAACTTTTGTTTTTTTTTCCTTGAAGAATCTGTTTTACAATTTCTCCAACAAGATATTTTGATATGCGTTAATGTTTTCTACATGGATTTTAATGTCATACAAACTGATATAAATTGATTATCAATGAAACATGAGTGATAATTACATAGCTAAACTGTTTTTTTTTTAATGATTGAATCAAACCCGAAATGATTTTAAGTTGAACAATGAAAAAAAGATACTATGGTGTAGAAATTTGACATTTCATGATAAATTCAAGATCTTTCCATTGTCCGACAGGATAATCGAATTCGCCGACTTTGTTAAAATCATAGTATGCACAAAACTTTTGTGCTTTAAAATTACCAGACCATACGGTGAGCCATATAGGTCGTCATGGGTAATGTTCACCTAACCAAAGTAATACGATATTCATCAATTGTTTACCAAACCCAAGATTTCGGTGGTCACGTCGAATAAATAGTGCTTTAATTTGTTCATCCTGCTTTAAGTCAACATCAGGATGGCGAATGTCATCACAAGGACCAGCAATAGCATAAGCGACAAGTTCATCATTTCTTTTATCTTGTATTACCCATATAGTCCGTTTTGAATCAATTAGTTTCTTAGCAAAACTTTCGGGACTAGCTGATGAATGAAAGTACGTGTCAAGATCGTTTTCAGGATAAGCAATAGAAAAGTCTTCTGTAAATGTTTCTCGGAAAGTCTTTTCAGAAAGTTGAGGTAGTGCGTTGATGTCAGAAATACCATCACAGCGAAGAAAAAATTGTTCATTCATTTATGATATAGCTATCTGAAGATATAATAAAAATGAAAGAGGTCATAATCAGATAGTATATCTTTTCATTTAATGTTTTAATTGCTGTAACGAGCATATTCTCAATATCTTATTCAGTCAAATTTAAAATTTCAGACACAATTTTGAAGTAAACGACAGAAGAGCTGTTCTAATTTTCAGAATACTTCGTAATATCGATAAACAAGCTTTTCTCGAGCGGTAAAAAAAATATCAATTTAGAATTTAATTGTTTCTATCTAAAATGCACGCGATAATCTCAGTTTCAATTTATATGAATAGCGTTTTGAAGTTTGATATTTTTCATCTTCTGCTTTTTTTGACGCTTTAGCGGCTTATATTTTTAAAATACAGTTTTAAAAAGTGAAGACAAATACTAAATGCCAGTGAGCATGAGCCTAGACTGTTGATTGTAACTACTTGAAGTAATGATATTCACATACTTACACGATTTTTTTGGAAATCTACTTAGGTATTTTGGTGTAACTGGTGAAACTAAATATATAATTCCATTTAATGCATCGTGTCACTATTTATCAGAGCACGTACTGCTTGTTTTTGGTTTTTTTTCTTTGTCGAAAAAAAAACTCATTTATACTAAAGTTGCAACTTAATTTTATAGCGTAGCATAGGACAGCACAAGACAATTGCACAGTTTCAGTTTCATTTGATAATATTTTGTAAGATTATAAAGCTAGTGAAGAGATGTTCTTTTGAAGAATACATGAATTAACTAATCGAAGATCCAAAATTAGAATTTGTGTTCAAATTGTATCTTTCTAATCAATTTAAGATAGATGATCTATAAAATAGTTGAATATTAATAGTATTTTATAGGGCTCTTTGTAAAAGCCGTCTTTGTAAAATGGATTTCGTGTCTCGAGTTCGGTCAACTTTGAATGATACCCTACTATGAATGAATCGAATCCATAAAAACTTTCTCTCATGCATGATTCTTTTTACAGTGAACGATGAAACATATTTGAAGATATTCGTATTATTGAATGATTATGATTACTTCTTTATTGCAAAAATAGACTCACAACCTAACTTTCGTTCAGCGACTCAGAACGAAGATAACATGATTCTTCTTAGTATCAAAAAAATTGTTTTACAACTTCTGAAAATTTTTCAGAGGCGTATTGAATATTGAAAGCTTTGACTACAACTATGAGTTAGTCAAATGCATTTTGAATTTACTATAGATTTCTGTAGGCTACCATGAATGTATCAAGAACAAAAACCAAATGACTAATAACTCTGACAGTTGTTATCGTTTTTTTTATTTCCCTTTTTTTGACGTCCAGCTCTTTTCCTCTATTCAGAGTTTGATCTACAGTTTTATCAAACTGAGGGTATGCGTGTGGGTGTAAGCGTATAGAATTGAAACCCACCCTAAACGTTTCATCTGTCAATCTGAAGCGCGTGTATTAAATCATGATCACCCTTAATTTCTCATATGGTTTTTTTCCTATTTTCCCTCATAGATGCATTAAGAACACACAATTTTGTCCTATTTAACCATCATTTTAGTGTATGTACAGAGTATGCTGCACGTATTGAAAATGTGACGATATTACAGAGATAGCAAGACTAATCTGTTTCAAATTGTCTTTGAAGTTTTTGCTTTCACTTCAAGCTCATTGATTCTACTGTTTCTCTAGTGAACATATTTTAATTGTTATGACTACTGCATATTCATAGTGTTATCTTACTTATGTTTTCATTGTCTCTTAATCTAGGATTGAGTAAATCGATCTTCGATAAAGGTTACATATCGATCAAAGACAAAACCATTGCAAATTCGTTATTTGTTATATAAGATATCGAACCTATGCATCAAAACAAAAATGAGGATAAATACTGTTGATACATCATTTCAATTTTTGACGATTATCTTCGATAACATTTTGTGATCTGAGTGCTCATTTTTAATTTTCATATGAACTAAACAGAAAATTTAAAAAAAGAAACAAGCGAGAACATGCATTAGAAACTATACCCGATGAAAGACCCACGGCTCTATTAAGACATGTTATTCATGGAACTTGTCAAAAAAAAACCTCAAACGATCTATCAACAATGTATATGTTCATTTTCAACCTTTATTTCTATTTTGAACCCTTACTCTCGTACTATTCATATATGTTGACGTCAATCGGTTTCATCCATAAACTTCATATTTTATTTTAAAAAATAATCACAAAAAAAAAAACATTGTCGTCAATAATTTGCATACTCCGCGGTGCATATGCGACTCCTATGAATGATCGATGTGAAGAACATGAAGAATGCGTAAAAAGAAAAAGAATAAACATCAAAGTAACTTAGGCAACTCGTATTGTTTCCATACTATTCTTTTCTGTTCGCCTGCGTCACAAACTTTAAAAAAAACAACTCAGAAGAAGAAGCACAAGTAATGTAGTTGTCATTCACAACTATCGTCATTGTTGTTTAGTCGTTATTATTTTACGCTCCATCAAATCATTGTAGCTTGAAAATGGGTTGTATTGGTGCTGTAATGACGCCATATACAGAGGCAGAACTTGATACTGAACTTGCAGCTTTTGTACCTCGATTACCCGTAGCTGTACTTATGAATGGTGGTATTATCAAACTTGAAGGTGTAAATGGATTTTTCAATCCAAATTCTCTTCTCGACCCAAGTTGGTTAAAAGATAAAATGACAGCACAAGAATTTTATCAAGCAATCGATTATATCAATAAACGCACAGCTTATACTCAAGTTGGTATGAGTAGGGTGTTTTTGGCATCTGAAAAACCATATCGTGATCAATTACGAACTCAAGCAGGTATGGCTGCAGTAGAAGAAATCAATCAACGACATCCATCGGTTCATTTCACTTATCAACAAACAGCCGAAAATGTCCAAATGAGTTTATCATGGAGTAACGATCCGGCTGTGCGTTTTGCAACAAGAGGCAAGGCTCCCGTCGGTAATGCTACAGTATCTGTACTTTATATTACCATACATTGATTTATATGCGACTTAATTTGTATTGGAGTTATCTTTCTGCCTTTTTTTTCATAATATCTTATCTTCAAGATTTGAATCAATTCATTCCGATGACATAGTTTAAAATAAATCACTGAAACTTCAGGCTTTTTCACATTTATCAATATTAATAATATGGAATATATCAACTAAGTCGCATTCTAAGCTGCTTGAGTTAAGTGACTGCAAGTTCTGAGTGTGGGAGGTTGGTTTGGGTCTAGGGATGACGTTTTCCTGTTAATTTATTTCAAATTAAAATTCTTGCAATTTTTCATTTAAAATAAATTTATATGTTTTTTTTTAACATAAAAATTTTAATTTATTTTAAGTTTAAATTTTACAAAATTTATTTCTCGATTTCATAAGTACTCACACATGCTGTTTTCCTATTAAATTTTTTTGATTTTCTTAGTCATCATTGTTAGCTCTTGTTCAATGTTCATTTCTCTTTCTCAATATTTTCTATTCAATAAACATTTACTACTTTACATTATAAAGTCAACTTCGACATATATTTCAATCGTATGAAGTATTTATTTGTCAATTTATAACTATTCTTAATGTTGTGATATTTCGATGTTTATAATAAGGATCAAATAGGTCAATTAACTAATAAATGTATTAGTTAAAACAAAGAACAATTCTTATATTCTTACATGAGTTCGATGATAAAATATATCATTAGATGTTATTCATTATATAGTTTAAATAGAACTTATTGTATTATTAATATTTTCAAATGTTACCACTGAGTAAAAGTAATATATAATTTCAACTTAACATATGAAGCGAAATAAAAAAGAATAAGAAAAATGATTTCGTGTTTTATTTATTATATATCTTAACTGTGTGTCATATGCACAATTGAACATGATAAACATCGAAATATCACAACATTCAAAATAACTAAAAGTGACGATAAAATAATTCATATGATTACTAAGCAAAAAAAACACCGTGATTAACCAAACGGTTAACTACAATCAACCATTAGTTTTCAACTAATTTGAGCAACATGAGAAAAAAGAAAAAATTTACTGTAAGTCAAAAACATATATTTTACATTAAGTCTTAGAAATTTATAAGAATTTTATAGAATGAACCAATCGTATCATCGTAGTTATCAGCACCACTTACAATAAGTTTTCAATGACGAGTACAAGAACAACAAATAAATGATAGAAACCCAATTAATGATTTTTCTACAAAGGAGTAGGCAAGGTTTCCATTCGCATGTTATCGTTTGAACTTGAGACTAAAATTATAAAGAACGTAAACTTTCGATCAAAGAAAGTCATTGAGCTTAATTAAAGCTGCTGTCATGTTTGAAGGACATGAGTTTGTTGTTGAATAAAGATTTTTGTTATAAGAAAAATCACTGCAATTTGTTGTTTACATGAGCTTTTTGCTCAATACAGATGTTTTGTCTTAATGAATATGGTATTTGACTATATATTTTTGAAAAGTATCAGCTAAGCTATCATTCAAGACAATTTGAGATCAATTTGCATTAATCCTAAGAATAAGGTGCTTCATCGATGAAAGTATTGAAAAAATTTTATCGATTTTTCTTAAATATTCTATTTTATATATTTATTCTAAAAATAGAAAACGACAGTTTTATCTAGTTTAGCATTGAAATCAATAATCATGTTTAAGAATTCTTCTACCTTGATTTTTAATGACTGCTTCTAATCTTCTCTCTACACTTAAGATCATTTTAGCACTAAAATTGATATCAAAATTTTGCCAAATTCTCTAGACTTCCTTTTTCATTTGATCTAATTCCTAATAATCGTTCGTCATGAATTTCATTGACAATAATGAACAATACCTTTTCAATACGACAGACATCACCTAATTTTTGAAGCCTGATATTCAGGCATAATACGAGACGACATAATTTAGTCATTAAACTTTCTGCCTCTCTAGTTGGAGTGCAACACTATGGTGTTGTTGTTTTCTTTATGCATACGAAAATAAAATTTCCCTACTTGAATACCATAAAACAAGAAAAAACTACAGCCGTGACACTCAATGAATGAATAAACGAGTGGCAGCTGTCATTTCTGATTCTGAGAGTGAAACATTTTTAAAAAAATTTTGATGAAATCTTTTCAATATGTTCATCGATCCAGCACATTCTTAGAGTTGATGCAAATTGACCGTGATGTCTTTTAGATAATAGAATAGATGCCATTCTCCAAAAATATATAGGCAATGCTTGTTTATCTTTAAATATAGCGAAGATAAATTATAAACAAAGATGAGACCAAAACTTATGGAACACTCTGTATTTAATTTATTTAAAAAGGAAAATTTATTTCTTACGTAATTAAGTGTTCCTTTGTAATAACATAGTACACAACTTTTATTTTTTTACAGGTATGAGTTGCGAATCAGATACGATTACAATCAATTAAAACTGCTTCATGTTTTTTTTTTTATTTTGAATACACTTCATGATTAACATGATTAATAACATCATCTAATTACCACATGTTTACATGAGAATTTCATTTTCCTTCGAGAATTTTTTAAGTCATTCATATAAGTTTGTTTCTGAGTCTTCTGTAACGGATGCACTTTTTTTCTTCATATAATATTTATGTAATTTTAAGTACATAGAATAACAGCAACTGTCATTGTTGCTATTTTGTTTTTATGTGTTGGAAAATCAATAGCAAAAAGGATATAGTCGAAGAAGAAATCCATCCACACTCTCACCCTTGTTTATATCTAATATCATTCGGAAAATACAAAGTTTTATCTGGTCTTTATTGCAGAATTCAGTACATATTCGTTACGTGACTCTGTCAATCATTGAACGATTGCAATCAGCTAATTATAGATATCAGTAGAATACTATAATTTCCTAGTATTTATTTAATATGTTATGCAATCGACAATATCGATCACCGAGAAGTGGATTTTTCAAAATAAGTTAGGTTAGAAAATTTTGCGTTTTATGTTGAAGCACAACCTGTTTTTATATTTTGTGCTTTTGCTGTAGCAATATTATAGAAATGGAAAGATTAAACAGTTGAATCTTATCTTGTTCATTATATTTAGTGAGGTCAAGTTTTTACCATAATATAGCCAATATTGAAGGGCGTTATTAAATGTAATAACTAAAATTTTCAAGTTCATCATGATGATATTTCTTAATAAAGCATTGAGATTACGTTGTTAAAGGAAGACGACGCGATCTGTTCTTGCTTTCAACAATTCGACTTGGAACAGAATATCTTTCTGTACAATTTCATGTAACTCTCAGATCTATCTATCATGGAGTTCGAATGCTGGAGTTCAGACACTATAAGTGCTGGAAGTCGAAGTTTCAGTCCGGAAAATCATGTTTCTATAGACGATGCAATACTAAAAGTCACGAACTCAGTAGTTTTCTTTCACACTAATCATTGGAGCAATGTTTTTTTTTCTATAGAAGAAATTTTACTTCATTCTATTGTCGCATATGGCTTCGATTCCGACTACTGTAGATTTTTCAGCTTTTCTATGACTCTGATTTGTCTTTTTCGTGGCATCAGTTTCTCTGGTAATATCTGCATTTATTTATCGATTCTTTAACTAAAACGTCACAATGAAAATAAAAGTAACTTGCATTTATTATAAAACAATGAGTATTACAGTAATATTCAGTCAAAAGTTATTATCTTCTTGGTCACTTGATTTGGCATCACTATCGGACATATTCACTTTCACTCATCACACGTAGTTCAGTTTCTTCTTCGAAAACGTCACTGACAGAAAGAAATTCCTACTTGACCTTGTGAGGATAGTTGATGAGTCAGTGACTGATCTCGCCAAGTCAACAATATATTATTCAGACAATGAGTGAATATCACTGTGACGAAAGTAATAGCTGTGCAAACAAATACACGCTTTCACCTGAGCCCACCTTACTTCTATGGTGTTGAGGACGCAGTATTTGATTGGAAGATGAACAAATTCAATAGTATATTTATGCATCATACATTTGATCTCTTTTTCACACGATTTATCATCATCATCATTGATGTTGAAAAAACTATTTCTTCTGAATGACATAAACTCTTTAATAATTTATTCAATGGTTGAGACATGACTGAACTATTTTACGTCCATTAATCTTCGTACAATATCCATATTCATCATTAGCAGTATTATACAACATTAGGCTGTTTTTATGTATTGATAGCCTCAAAATATGAAACTACCTTTATATGATATGAATAGACTGTCAAAAATGATTACATAATAAAAGCTGCAAAAGAATTTACTTCTTTTTCTTTTCATCCTGAGAAAATAAAATTTATTTCCACACGATAATTTTACATATTGAGTGACTTTCTATCGTACTTTGTATTTTAATGCCACAAAATTCAAAGTTAAAATTTTCATACAAATAATCTGTCCACAAGTGCTTTGTCAAATTATATTTAGTAGATCACCAAGATCCAATGTCAAACCTAAACGATTTGCATTTCTGTTTGATGCATGATTAATCATAATAAACTCATTTATACATGGTAAAAGACAAAATACAGATAAAAAGGATTTACTGATTATATGTTTTAGCTAATAGAAATAGCTAAATGATTTATAAGTACTAATCAAATTATTTTTTTTTATCAATTTTTTCTTTGAAATATGGTTATTAACTAATTTTGAAACGCAAAGGAGTATTGCAGGTATCGGTGAAGAGAAGGTCACGATCCAACCATACCCGAATTTAAAAAGTGTCTGTACTCAAGACGCTGGTACTGAATGAGCTTGTGGGTGTCGGTCTGGGTGTGAATCTGAGTCTGTAGGTGACAGTAAGATATCAGCGCCCACAACCACAGCCTACATTAGATGCCGAATCGAACTGACCGTGCGTTTTACTGGTTCGAGTTCGGCATTGTTCGTATTTGTCTTCTGATATAGAATAATTGGTCAAACGCCATTTAATAACTGCCCACATCATTACAAGTTTTCAAAAAAAAATGAGAGTCAAATCAATCATTTTCCTTAATAGTTTTCTATATT